TGCCAACCCCCGCGTACTTTATAACTACACACAACACGCATGCGCGTTCTCTATTTCTTCATTCATTTATAATACATTTGATAATGTTACTAAATGATAAATTTGGTAATATTACTATTAATTGTATATCAATGGAGACTGAAAATGAGTTTTATGTGAAGTTTACTCCGCAAACCTGGAGTAATGCTCAACACGTGTGCTACAGCGACGTGAACAATCTGGTACCCAGAGCCTTTATTTCTTACTGCGCATACATAAAGGCTCTGGGTACGAGATTGCGACGTGAATAGAATATTTTAGTATTTTCCTGAGTGTTTCTGCTCAGGACCTTAACCCTAACCATTATCATTTCCTAATACCGCATTTACTGAATTACTCTTAGTTCATTCTCAAGAAATTTAAACGTACCTTTTCTTATGCTTATTTATAATATTCCTTTTCTAGTCGTTTAGGAGCCAATTATATTACTTTATGTGATGCAACCTGCATCTATCTTTCCTTGATTAATTTGATATAAATAATCCGAAGGTAAAGCTATGTGTAATTGTGAGCATGCTCAGTGCTAGACGTTATCCCAGATCCAACTGTGATGAGATTCCATGCCCCGATATAAATAGCTGATTTCACTCTTTATTGGATGAGAAGTTTGTAAGTGTTTAAATAAAGTCCGAAAGCAATTTTCACGTAACGTTGTTAAGCAGATGACGTAAGACGATTGATAAACGTTTAATTATCGATTTGCTAACATCTTAGTTAGTGAGTGAGTGAGTGACACATTTGCATATTCAGACCCCTCACGATAACTTGTTTCTACGCTTCTCGTATCCACGAGTTCAAAACCACATCTAGCTCTTAACATGTGATAATTTCTATTTATTTTTTTCCGGTCCGGTATCCTAAAAAATCGTGCGTTCTGATTGGCTGTTTGAGCGGGCGGTATTTTGTCAGTATCTGCCCGCGCGCGCGGTCCGGTATCCTTTGCCGCTAAACGTGAACACAAAACGATTACAAAAACAAGTAAACAAAATACGGGAAAAAAATAAATAAGTTATTTACCGTCCTATAGTCGGTCCGGATAGGGAAAAACTGTGCCCTCGGTCTTGAAAACGTATATTCTCACCTCGGGCACAGTTTTTCCCTATCCGGACCTCCTGGCCGGTAAATAACATATATGTATCATATGGTCACCTTTTTACGTTTGGCTCAACATATCGTCTTAACGGTGAAGAGTGACGGATAAAAATTATCAATTTTATTCAACACCTAAGTGAATGACGTCATTTACTCAACCCTATTGTTCTTTTCGCTTTTAAAACAAAATTTCTCAACAG